GGGTTCTGGGGGATCGTAGCTTCCCCCAGCCCCTCCCTCCCGTCAGAGGGGTTCCAACTGCAGTTGGCCCTACCGGTCCGGACCGGTTTCTACCCCTCCCCTGGTTGTGTAAAAAACAAAGTAACAGATATGTCTTCTTTGAGTCTTTCGGTAAAGCCACGTAGATAGAAACAATTATCAAAATAATAACAATATCACAACGTTTCGATCGCAACACAAGCAATCGTCTTGAGGTGAAAAAATAGGGGGAAATCTGCCGAGGCAGGCTGTATATAAAGGTTTAGAGATATTGTTATTATATTGATTATTTTTTCTATCTACGTGGCTTTACCGAAAGACCCAAAGAATATGAATTCCTGCAGTCACGAAAGCTTTAAGTAAAGATTTAACAGATATGTAGTATAAAAAATGCCGACGTATTCATAGTTCAATAAATAAATACTTTGCAACAGCGGTGACTTTTTAAATCCCCGACACAACGCAAAATAATGCCCCGCATTTCAAATAAACAGAGACAAGAACCGTAGGGAATACCTTGCACGACCTCACTGAGACCGCACTCCAGCCTCACGTTGCACGGAACACAACTTTTGTCTTCATTTGTTATGGGACGGTTCATTTTACGGTCACCATGACAATAACGTTCCTGGGGCCAACTCTCTTGACGATTGATCTCGTAATGAACAGAATCTCCAAGCCGTAATGGGTTGGTGTCGGCTGCATGGATCTTGGCTCTTGTTTCCCAGAATGCATGCGTGATTTTAAGCGCTTTCATGCTGAGTTTTTCAAGTCGTTGTGGATTGTGAGTTTAGAGTTGCTTTAAATGTTTTCCATGTCAGCATTGGACAGGTGTGCCATAAGGCCCTGAGGTAATCATTGCAGCTCTTTATTGTTTAGAGAATGTGGTCGTCGAGTGAGAATGTAGAGTCCAAGGTGATTCCAATGATGTTCAAGTGATTTCAGGTGCTGATGGTGGAGCTGGAGATGAGTACATTTTGGGGCACCGGCGACGCCATGGTGAGCCGCTTCCTGGTGCCTTCCTAAAATGTCTCTCAAAATTAGTTTGATTTTGAGAGGAAGCAAAGGGTGAGCCACTTGATCGTGTGGAATTCAGGCACCAACCACTATCGGTGGGGCGAGTGCCAGTTGTTACACCGGTGGTGGCTGCTGTGAGACCAGAGTGGCGGTGGCTGCTGTTGGACTGGCGGTGGCAGTAGCTGCTGTGGTGCTGATGGCAGCTTCTCCAAGACTGGCGACGGCTGCTGTGAGATGAGGGTGGTGGCGGCTGCTGCGGGACTGGCGATGGCTGCTGTGGCGCTGACTTCTTCGAGACATGTGGTGGTGGTGGTGGTATTGGCTGCTGCGGGACTGGCGATGGCTGCTGTGGCGCTGACTTCTTCGAGACATGTGGTGGTGGTGGTATTGGCTGCTGCGGGACTGGCGATGGCTGCTGTGGAACTATCGGGGTGGTGGTGGCGGATGCTCTGGGACTAGGGGCGGCGGCCGCGGCTGTTGCGTGCCTGGCGTTGCCGGTAACAGCTGCTGCTGCAGCTGTTTCTGCCATCGCCCTTGCAGTTGCTCCAGCAGTTGTTCCCGTTGGGGTGGTTCGCCATCTTGAGTTTCTGCAGATAAACAAGATGAGGGCGCTCAAGTCCAAACCGCTCGACATTGAGTGAATGAAACAAAACTGGTCTAAAGTAGACACAAGAACATTGCTGTACTTCACCATTCCTGTAATGTAAAATTATGCACTGCCAGGGTGTACATTCTCCCAGTTCCACGCACGTGGGGTAACATTTCAAAACCATCCTTTACCTTGCGTGCCGGTGAAGAGAGCTGCTGTTCAGTGACGAGGTCCTGGGTCTCCATCGCCGAGTTGGAACATTTGATGCACAACTTATACGTCGCCTTGACGTGCTCCAGCGGGCGGTAGCTGTCCGTTGGTGGCGCATTCAATTCTGGGGACCTGAATGCCCGCACCACACATCGTAAACTGCGGTTAACACCACCGCTCACTCCACCGCTGAGCTTGTCTGGCCGGACACCCATCGAGCCGCTAAGCTCCAAATTAGTCGGAACAACTCAACTGCCTAGAAAGGAGACACTGCTGCTGATGCTCTCGCAAGACAATATCTGTGCAGTGAGCTGGTCTGGGGGACGGGTGTAAGTGGAGGTCAAAGTGGATGGGAGAGAAGGGCGACTTGCCGAATATAGAAGAGCATGTAGGCCTGCTCACTCATCACAGCCTTGGTGTCAACGAGCCGCACGATGGAATCGTTCATACGGCACCATTTTCCATCGCTGATCTGTGCACAGTTAAAACACGGCTACACTTGGTTACAATGTTTACAAAACCGCACCCAACATTCTCCGTTCATGTAATAACAACACACGATACCCTCTAGCCAACAAGTTCCTCAAGAGCATCACACCAACGTCAGAGCTGCAGAGCGTGCTACGGTTGCTATGATGGTGTTGAAGTTACGGTACGGTCTGCCTGAACATATCACTGCATCGATAACCTTGGACCAATTTAATCAAAATCTAAATTTTTATTTAGACTGGAAGAATCTGATGAGCTACGATGCTCTTTTTCACAAATGTCTAGTAGGGGCGGGTCAGAAAGTTACAACAAACAATACATAAACCTATAGGAGTGAAAAGTGTAGGAAAGCTAAGCAAGTCACTAAATACAAATAAATAAAGTAAATACCGTAAGTAGAAATTGCATAAATACATCAAAACGCAAGAACAGTTGCAGGACTGTTTTTATTATTATTTATTTTTATTATTTTCTATCTCCGTGACTTTACCAGTAGCTGCTGTGGTGCTGATGGCAGCTTCTCCAAGACAAGCGGTGGCTGCTGTGGATCTGGCGATGGCAGTGGTTTCTGTTGGACTGGCTTCGGCTGCTGTCAGATGAGAGTGGTGGCGGCGGCTGCTGTGGGACTGGCGATGGCTGCTGCGGAACTGGCGGTGGCGGTGGTTGCTGTTGGACTGGCACTGGCTGCTTGGAGATCGGGGTGGTGGTGGTGGCGGATGCTCTGGGACTAGCGGCGGCGGCCACGGCTGTTGCGTGCCTGGCGTTGCCGGTAGCAGCTGCTGCTGCCGCTGTTTTTGCTGTCGCCCTTGCAGTTGTTCCCGTTGGGGTGGTTCGCCATCTTGAGTTTCTGCAGATAAACAAGATGAGGGCGCTCAAGTCCAAACCGCTCGACATTGAGTGAATGAAACAAAACTGGTCTAAAGTATTAACAAGAAGATTGCTGTACTTCACCATTCCTGTAATGTAAAATGATGCACTGTCAGGGTGTACATTCTCCCAGTTCCACGCACGTGGGGTAACATTTCAAAACCATCCTTTACCTTGCGTGCCGGTGAAGAGAGCTGCTGTTCAGTGACGAGGTCCTGGGTCTCCATCACCGAGTGGGAACGTTTGATGCACAACTTAGACGTCGCCTTGACGTGCTCCAGCGGGCGGTAGCTGTCCGCTGGTGGCGCATTCAATTCTGGGGACCTGAATGCCCGCACCACACATCGCAAACTGCGGTTAACATCACCGCTCGCTCCACCGCTGAGCTGTCTGGCCGGACACTCATCGAGCCGCTAAGCTCCAAATTAGTCGGAACAACTCAACTGCCTAGAAAGGAGACTGCTGCTGCTCGCGTAAGACAATATCTGTGCAGTGAGCTTGTCTGGGGGACGGTTGTAAGTGGAGGTCAAAGTGGAGGGGAGAGAAGGGCGACTTGCCGAATATAGAAGAGCATGTAGGCCTGCTCACTCATCGCAGCCTTGGTGTCGACGAGCCGCATGATGGAGTCGTTCATCCGGCACCATTTTCCATCGCTGATCTGTGCACCGTTAAAACAAAGCTACACTTGGTTACAATGTTTACAAAACCAAAGAATATGATTTCCTGCAGTCACGAACGTTTTAAGTAAAAATTTAGTTGCAAGACTGTTTTATTTATTCCTCCCTATTAGAAATTTGTAACATTATGGGCGCATTGCAGATGTGCGTTGTTATTGTTTGATGGTAACGAATGGAATTACCTTATTGTAGCAATAATAATGGCCGCTGTTTGAGTCGGCTCCCTTGTGCACCAGCACCGAGTACAGGGAGTAGATCGCGGGCTCGCCCTGAGATGTTGAGGTGAAGGGTTGCATGTCCAGGTGCTCCGGGTAGGTGATGTTCTACAGACAGCGCACAGGAGGGGGAGGCAGTGCACAGAGACAAATGTTAGGAGAGGAAACGGCAGGGGTGGTGGGGTGAGCAGCAGAGATGGGCACCATCTCAGTTACACGTCAAAGTGATGACGTGATGTCTCGCTCATTTGAGCGTTGAAGACGGTGCTCATCTCCTGTTCATAGCCCTGAGCAAGTGGTGGAAATTCTACAGTTACATGACGGGGGGCGAGTCTATCTGTCGGACCTATTCCAACATGGAGAGGCATTTTCTCCAGCGTTAAACTGACAAAGGGCTGTCAATAAATAATTTAATTCGAACGATGTGGAGGGGCAGAATCGTTACCCGGTTGATCTTGACGCCGTAGAGGTTGTACCGCTTGATGGAGACGGTGAGGACGTTGGGCAGGCGGTGGAGAGCCATCGTCTTCGTCGCTTTCCCCTTGTGACAGCACCTGCACGACAACAACAACGCCAGACATTGCACGCGTTCCCCAACCGATGAGGGCAACTTTTAAACGACATTTCTTGTAATTTTTTCTTTACTATTATTTTAGTAATTTTTATTATTATTTATAAAATACTTTTTAGTAAAACTAATATTATGTTCTAAAATATTTATCATAATTAATATTCTTCTGTTTATATTATCGTGAGATATATATTTAATCTGCAGACTTTTGAAACGACAAATGTTTGCAGGGTGTCGAAACACGACGGCCCGCTCACCTTGCACAGGTGTATTCATCCAGAATCTCCTCGTTGAAAACTCCCCAAACGCCTCCACCAGATGCGATGAGTTCTGTTGCCCAACAGAGTGAAAGGCAAATGAAGACCCTTAAGAAGCATTCCATAAACATTGTATTGTGACGGCAACTCCGAAAATCCGCATCTTGTATTAAATCGTACGACCGCAATAAACGAGATGATGCACGGTACTGGCAGTGTGTTTGGATGTTAAGTGGCTGATCGATGTGTCTGCGTGATGTATGTTGGCACAGAAGGGGGCACAGGTAGTACATCAGCCAGTCATCTCATTCAGTCAATCCATGGCACCTGGGTCTGTCCCGTGACCTGCCAGCAGGCGTTCGACACTTCACATGGCCTTAAAGTGCACTCAGCCTAGCACAAGTGCCATGGTGACATCATCGCCATTTAGTGGCGAATGGCGGTTGTTGTTGATGTGTGCATGTTGAACCTCCTTCGCACCGTATGTACATGTATAACTGTTAAGAAATGGTTTTCTCATTGCTTACATTAATATAGAGTGCGATGTCCAGGCATGTGTCGTAGGTGTTGGAGTCATTGCAGCACTGCATGCACTCCACTGCAAAGCAAACACACATTAGGGAGGGACGTCACATGTGTCTTAGTCAAACTAAATGCACGCTCCCCACTGACATAGGTAATCGCTACTTTTCACCAACTGGTAAAAGGTTATTCCGTGTGGCACGTGTGTGAGTGTAAATGCTGCAACGCGAGCAGGTCTACACTGTGATGGTGCACTTACTGTTCGCGGTTAACAAGTTTCTAGAGGAGTGCGCAAAACTTACCACGTGAACGAAGGTAACCCCCGAAGATCTGGTAAATGAGGGTGGTAGCCTCCGTGTATCTGTCCAGCCTGCCAGTCACAGAGAACGACACCACATGGTGGTTACAGCAGCAGTAGTAGTAACACCTTTACCGGATGCACACGCATGTGTGAAAGTTACACCATTGCCCGAGCTGTTGATTCACTCTTTCCCTTCAGCACTGCAACACGTGCTCTGTGGCAACGAAACGTGGTCGCGTCTGCACAGGGCAGCCACCTTCACGGCACAGCCACAGAGCTGGGGACAAGCTGGCAGCCATCACGCGGTGCTGTTGCCCGGCAGTTTTGTTGTGCCCTGCATGCCATGTGTTACCCGTCAACACGAGGAATGATGTGAAGGGGCCACCGACCTCGAGACATTTATCCCCCGGTATTTATAGGCAACGTGAAATGCGCCAACAAAAGATGGCCCACGTCAGGGCCAAGGTCAAAGAACCGTGGTGTCAGAAGGGCCGGTCCTCTGCATCTCCCAGGTGTTCACACAAAAGTGTGAGTAGCTTTTCACAGACGTTGAAGTACAATCGTGCAGAAAACCGAGAGGAAGCCGTGAGGTACCGAACTGCAGAACGACTGCCGCATGTTGACTGGCGCGCAGTACTCACTCGCTGTGGCCATAGAGGCATGAGGCTTGCATGGCATCGACCACGTATCGCAGAAACTCGTGGGCATCTTCCTGTCTCCCAATGCGCAGGTGTTTGGCGATGCCTGCAGAGAAATGGACATGGGGACAAAGTGACAGATACAGGATCTGATGACATCCTTCAAGAGCTCCCCAACAGTCGTTTCAAAAGGAGCGGTGCAAAGGATTTGGAACACAGACGGCGAAGGATCGCGGCGATAACTTAGTATTGGGACTCACGCGTGATGTTGTTAGTGATGACCTTGGGTGTCAGAACTGTCTGCGAGTTGTTGAACGTGCTGACGACGTGACGCTCCATGACGCACATCAGGCAAAAGTCGCTCCGTTGGCCTGCGAACGAGGGCACAGGTGGCACAATCCGTCAGCGCACGCCACTCGCACTCAGCCCAGTTGGGGAGTAACAACAAACGCGAGGAAACCTGGCACCAGCAACAATCGCAATTAATGTTGTGTCTAAGTACCAATTGCATCACAAGATGCTTTATAAGCCCAAGTTTAATCTGTGCAGCCTATTAAACACATGTTCGCCACGTGTGCACGTGTTTATGAAAAACACAATACTGATTTACTGATTTATACTGGAGGAATCCGATGAGCTACGGAGCTCTTTTTTTGCAGATGTCCAATAATGTTACGGGGTGAAAAGGTTACAACAACAAACAATACAAAAACACGATAGGAGTGCAAAATATAGGCAAGGCAAACAAACCACTTAAAAACATACACAAATTAAACTATGTTTTTATTCTACCAGGTAAAGCCGACTGAGCTATTAGCTTCTTCAAAAGCGATCTGACCACGAATGATAGTTCAACGAAGTAGCTTATCAAGTGTGAAATTCACATCAGCCAAAATAACCGTGATAATAAAATAGCCGATGGGTAAACGAGAGTGCCAGGAGGGAGGGTACTTACAGGTGCTGCAGTGCTCTTGCAGCAGCAGGTAGTTGGCGAGCGGCGGCGTGTAGGCGAGGCACTGCAGCGTGGCGTTGAGGAAGCAGGTGTTCCCCAGGTTGCGCAGGCCGGCACCCTTGCCCACGTCGCTCTCCCACCGGAGGTTCAGCCGCTCCGGCGCAAACAACGAGAGCCGTGCCGCCGGAATGCCGTCGTCCTCCTCTGCACAAAGGGTACGGTGGTGGCGAAAGCCGGCGTCATCGCAGAGCGCTGCACTGCCGATGGGGCTGGCGTGGATATCCAGTGGCCCCAGCCAGCACCCGTACTGCTACTCTTAACCAGAAATATTTTTCTCCACATTTAAGTGTCAGGCTAAAGTTCGCGAAAAATGTGATGCGCCTGTCACGTTGACTGATAGGTGTTTTGAGCTCCTCGTGTTACTCTTGAATGGCAAAAGTTGTGGTGGCACAGCGGCCTTGCTTTGGTGGCTACCACCCTACCGAGAGGTCACGAGGTTGTGTAATCGCACGCTCACCTTGGGGTGCAGGCAGCACAGGCACGCTGATGTTCTCTGTGGCTGGCACTGGGAAGGGGTCCGGCCGGCCATGGGGAAGGTAGCTGGGTTGGGCGCAGAGCCTCTCGTCGGCCGCCACCAGCACCTCGTTGGACGAGGTGGGGGCCAAGACCGTGAGGTCGTTGCCGGACGAGGTGCCCTCTGCTCCGCACGCCACAGTCGTGGTTGGGTCCTGCCACAGCAACGTAGTCAAAACATCCACAATTACTCCTTCCATCTTGACTTGGATCCCAACACACGTGGAACTGTTTTATCACCAAAATAAATCCAATTTTAGTCCATGAACCGATGGGCAATCCGCATAAAATGTCCCAGAAATATATACATACAGAATCTATTTTTCACATTATACATGGTGGCCCAATGTTAGGACAGAGGGATATTTCCTTTATCGTGCCACTGACATTACAACGTTTTAATTATGTATTCTTGAAGTTAAAAGTGTATCTATTATCATTATTACTATCTATAACAAAATAATCCTGTTATTTGTTCAAATAAACATAATAACTCCATGTGTCCTGACTTGTTGGCCAGCCTCTATAGGCGACGTTATGAAAGGGACAACTATTAATGTGCTCTGCAGAAGGGCAATTGCCTGAAATGTCGCCTATCATTATTTTGTAAGACCCCCCCCCCCCCCGTGCACTCCCAGCGTTGTGATTGGCTGAGTGGCGCCAGCGGGCCCCGCCCCGCCCGCCACCCGGGGCCCCGCCCCCTCACCTGAGGCTCCGCCCCCAGACGCGGCCCCGCCGCCGCCTGCGCGGCTCCCGTCAGCTCCGGCACGGCGACCCGCGCCGCGCCTCGGGCTTCATCCGGGGAGGGGGTCCCGGGCACAGCCCCGCGGGATCCCTCGCGGGGGTCATCATCTGCAAGAAGGAGAAGCACAGCGATCACATTTCGTACTTCGGACAAACACACGGCTCTACATTTCCCACGAAAGTTTAACATGGCACTGTTCAGTAGCCCCAACCAGCAGCACCCGTGCTGCTACTCTTAACCAGAAAGATGTTGCTCCACATTTAAGTTTAAATCTCAAGGTAGCGAAAAATGTGATGCGCCTGTCACGTTGACTGATAGGTGTTTTGAGCTCCTCGTGTTACTCGTGAACGGCAACAGCAGTGGCTCCAAAGCGGCCCTTCTGTTGGTGGCTGCCACCCTAACGAGAGGTCACGAGGTCGCGTGGTCGCACGCTCACCTTGGGATGCAGGCAGCACAGACACGCTGATGTTTTCTCGTGCTGTGGCTGGCACCGGGGAGGGTTCCGGCAGGCCATGGGGAAGGCAGCTGGGTTGGGAGCAGAGCCTCTCGTCGGCCGCCGCCAGCACCTCGTTGGACGAGGTGGGGGCCAAGACCGTGAGGTCGTTGCCGGACGAGGTGCCCTCTGCTCCGCACGCCACAGTCATGGTTGGGTCCTGCCACACAACGTAGTCAAAACATCCACAATTACTCCTCCCATCTTGACTTGGATCCCAACACACGTGGGACTATTTTATCACCAAAAGAAATACAATTTTAGTCCACGACCCAATGGGCAACCTGCATCAAATGTCTCAAATATATAAACATAATCTATTTTTAAAGGAACCCCAAACTCACTTTAACTCGCCAAATAGTCTATGAAGAAGGGGCCATTGGCTAAAGACGAACGAGTTCAGTTCGTCGTTACGTATGCAAAAGAAGGCAGCTGTAAACTTTTTAAGATATTAACTTAATTTTAAAAGATAATTCGTGCATTCATCTTGAACTAAATAACAATCTGTTATTTGTTAACACAATTATAACCCGATGTATCCTGATTTTTGGGCCAGCCTCTTATTAACGACGTCATGAAGGACTGTGACGTGCTCTGAAGCAGGGCCAGTGCCTGATACGTCACCTGTTATATATTTAATCATACAGTATACATTTCGATTTAAAGCTTTCGTGACTGCAGGGATTCATGTTTTTGGTTCTTTACAATAATTACAGATAATAATAATGTGTAATTAATGTATACTGTATGGTAAAGTCACGTAGAAGGGAAGTAATAAAATAATAAAAATAAAACATAAAATAATTCTCACGACGTTTCGGCCACAACGCAAGCAGCCGTCCTCAGGTGAAGAACAGGTCTGTCGAGAAGACAGAGTCTGAATGACAACCCCAGGCTTGGAGCGTCTTTTTAAGCTGGGTTGGAGGGGGGGAAGAGCGCCTTGACAAAATAGTTTGCATATCAAGAGGAATTTAGTATATATATAAGCTGGGTTGGAGGTGGAAGAAGAGCGCCTTGACATTCCCTCCCTTTGTTAATGCTACCCCCTACCCCCTCCCTTTGATGCTGCTAATCCTACATAATGCATGGGCATAATATGACTTTGAAACACCCCAGCCTACCTCCTACGCATTTCCCATAAATATGCTAAATTCCTCTTGATATGCAAATTATTTTGTCAAGGCGCTCTTCCCCCCCTCCAACCCAGCTTAAAAAGACGCTCCAAGCCTGGGGTTGTCATTCAGACTCTGTCTTCTCGACAGACCTGTTCTTCACCTGAGGACGGCTGCTTGCGTTGTGGCTGAAACGTCGTGAGAATTATTTTATTATGTTTTATTATTTTATTACTTCCCTTCTACGTGAATTTACCATACAGTATACATTAATTACACATTATTATACAGGTTGGCCCAAAAGTTAAGACACGGGGTTATTTAATTTATCTTGGCACTTACATTACAACGTTTTCATTATTTATTTTAAAAGTTAACTTTATTCTCAAAGTTTCGGTGACATGTGCCTAACGCCTGACACTCTGCATGCTGCGTGTAACACTGACTCGGCTCGGTGGAGTTCCATGCAATTCTCAAGATTTTTTTTTTTCTTCGAAGGCTTAGATTAAAATTGTGACTAATCATTCGTTTGTTGTGAGAAGAAAAGTCAATGTTCTCCCAAAATATCCCCTGTGTTTGTATTTTATCTTTGCGTTTTGACACCCTCTATTACTGAATAATAAATAAACTATTCAGTTAATTTGTGCGTGATAATAGTTTTTTTTTACTTCGAATAGAAATTGAAATAAAGGAGCAGAATCTGCTTTGAATTTGAACTCAGTGCAGTTTCACTTTGATGACTTTTGCTCGCACTTACGGTGAACATTTGTTAAAATGAGTGAACACCGACCTTTCCCCTTGCGATCAATAATCAATATTCACTTTTTTAAAATTCACATCAATTCAGAATCCAGTAAGTTATTGTAACTGAACAGGGGCGTCCACCCCTTCATGAAGTTGAACCAGGCGGCCGCCTGGGGCCCCAAGTTAAGTGGGGCGCCAAAAATTCGAGCAAAACACATTCCTGCGGAGGGAGCTGGTAGTAACGGTCAATGGCCAGGGTCAACGGCGGCGTGGTGTATTCCGCAAATATGCCCGACTGTGAGGGCAGGCACAAGCCGGTGTGAGTAGGTTAAACGTTGATACAGGTTGGAACAACAGGTTCCACACTGCCCACCAGGGATTATTTGTCTGTCGTGCATCAGAATGCAGCCCACCCATGCCCCCCCCCCCACCGACCGCCGAGCAAGGCCACGATTGGTTGAGGATGTCGGGGAGGGTGGGGGGAAGGTAAACACGCCCAATCATCCAACTTCCCTCCCCCCCCAAAACGCCGAGCGGGGCGGCCACTGGTATAGGTGGGGTGAAAACACGCCCACTCATGCAATCCCCTCCTTACAGAACACCGAGCAACGCGCGATTGGTTGACGATGTCGGGGAGGGTGGGGGGGAAGGGTAAACATGCCCACTCATCCAACTGCCCCCCCCCCGAACGCCACGCTGAGTGTGAAAGTGTGTGTGTGTGAGTCTGAGAGTGTGAAAGTAAGTGTTTGTTTGAGTCTGAGAGTGTGAGAGTGTGTGTCTGTTAGTCTAAGTGTGAGAGTGAGTGTATGTGTGTGTGAGTCTGAGAATGTGAGAGTGAGTCTGAGAGTGTAAGGGTGAGTGTGTGTGTGAGTCTGAGAGTGTGAGTGTGTGAGTCTGAGAGTGTGAGATGTCAGTGTCTGTGTGCGTTTGAGCGTGAGTGTATGTGTGTGTGAATTTGAGACTGTGAGAGTGAGTGTGTGTGAGTCTGAGAGTGTGAGAGTGTGTGTGAGTTTGAGAGTGTGAGAGTGAGTGTATGTGTGTGTGAGTCTTAGTTACCTAGAGTGTTATACAGGTAGGAACAACAGGTTCCACACTGCCCACCAGGGATTATTTGTCTGTCTGTCGTGCATATCCGGAATTCTGCCCACCCATGCATCTCCCCTAGGCCTCAGCAAGGTAAGGTAAAAGTTAAAAAGTAAAAACAACGAGCCTACCTTTACCCTACCTTCTACCTTACCACAATACAATTACTCTACCCTTACCTTTTACCCTTTAGCAGGTAAGGTAAAAGCAAGAGCCTACCTTTTACCCTTACCCCATACAAATTACCCGATTACAGGGTAATTACTAGGGTACTACACATGAAAAATGTTTATAACGGTAAATGCTAGATAGCGCGCTTTATTCATATAGAGTACTCTCGATGATTCCAATTTTACACGCTTGTTGTCATTGTTGTCGTTGTCGTCGTTGTCATCGCTGTCGTATCCTCAAATCTTGTAACTCAATTTTAACCCACTTCCTAATGTGGTATCGACTGCACACTTGGTATACTTATGGCATACTGATAACAGTACTATATTCTATCGGGGCCACTTCCTGGAGTCGTGGAGTTCTGTTATTACTCGTACATTTAATGAAAGCGTGTTTAAAAAAATATATTTTTTAATATTACATCTTAAATGGAGGCCATGGACTGCGCCACGGAGCTTTTAGCGGTAAACAAGGTACCGTATTTACCGGGTAATACTTCGCGCTACCTTTACCCTACCGGGTAATTCTTCCGAGCTACCTTTACCCGACCCTTTACCTTACCCCTTGGCATGTTGACACCTTTACCCTTTTACCCGGTAAAAAGGGTAAATTACCTTACCTTGCTGACGCCTACTCCCCACCGAACACCGAGATACGCCGCGATTGGTTGGCGATGTCGGGGAGGGTGGGGGGAAGGGTAAACACGCCCACTCATCCAACTGCCACCCCCCCTGATCGGCGCGCTGTCCAACCAAGTTCCTACCTGCCCACTCCGAAGGAACGTGTTAAGGGCACCACGGGGTGAGCAGCCCCTCCCCACCCAGCCCCACCCCTCCCACCCCCCACCCTCCCCACCTAGCCCCACCCTCGCCACCCAGCCCCACCCTCCCCACCCAGCTCCTCCCTGCACGACGGACGTACAAAATAATCCCCTGTGGGCTGGTGTAACCAGGAGGTTACTACCAGTAAACATACAAATAAAATAACGACGATGTCATTATTTCAATTCATGTGCGCATACAGCGGGAATATGAATTATAATTCACTTCTCAACATTCCTGAGAATGTATTGGTTGGACAGACGGGCGAACGGACAGACCGAATCATTATTCCTCTGTTTAAAAAAAATCCGCTTAAAACATTAAGTTATCATCATACCTAAAATCGGGGGAAAATGTTTCCCAGTTTACCAGAAACCTCAGCCTGGATCTGCCCTTGGGGTTTGGGGGCGCCCATTGGGTGGTTGGCGAGGGCGTTGCCAGTTGCTGGCAGCAGCTGCTCTAGGGCCGCTCCTCTCACTGAGTGCAAATTCATTTTGGTAAAAGCGATTTTCTGCTCACGTTTTGAGCGAAAATTGGTGAACACAACGACGCGTCCTTCCGGGTTATAAACAGCTCATTTTTTAGTATTCACATAAATAGGGAATCCAGTAAGTCAATACATAAAATAATAATAATGTAATAATTACCACAACAATTGCGCATTTGCAACAAACATAAGCCAAGAACTGCGTGTTTACATTGTTTCATTCACTCTCACAGGTGAGAAAAAAATAAAAGTTTGCAAAACTAATTTTCGATTGAAACTTTTCGTTTACTTTCTTCCCGACAGAAAGGAAACTCCAACAGCTATTAGAATGATGAAGGTGATTTACAAATTTTCATTCTTTATTTGCAGGTTTGTTATACATTACTCTCGGAGAAGATAAAATTACATTCGGTACGTCACATTCCGTAATTTTGAGTTCATTCAGATGAATCCGGAAGCGTCGGAGACGAAAGAAGACGTCGATTAAAGGGAGGAAGACGGCAGAGGTGGCGTCATCGACAAAGTCACAACACAGTGGATCGTTTACGACGTGAAAATACCCGTCACGTGACGGGCAATTACGCGATGCTCCTCACCAGGACTAAAGCGGGAAGTTATTTTCCCCCAATTACATTCCTTAAATAATGATCAAATAGAGCAAGTCAAGATCTATAAGTATCTTGGGGTCATCCTTGATTCAAAACTGAATTTTGAAGATCACATTGATTATATTGGTAAAAAGACAAAAATAGGTTTTCTGTATCGACACAAGCACTGCTTCCCCCCTATGTTCCGTTTGGAATTGATAAAAGCTACCATACTGTCTCTACTTGATTACTGTGACATCGTGTATAAATCAGCCCCAAGTACTGCACTGAAGAAACTTGACTCAATGTATCACCCGGCCTTAAGATTTGCACTGAACTGCCCATATAGGACTCACCACTGTGATCTCTACATTGGGTCAAACTTAACATCTGTTAATGTTCGACGGCTTGTGCACCAGATCTTTTTTATTCATAATGTACTTACAAAAAAATCCGCAGATTATCTGCGGGATCTCCTCTCAGTTTCAAAGAACAAATTTGACCTAAGGTCTTCGCTCACTTACCAACTTCAGATTCCCTATTGCCGTACAAATACTGGAGGAAGGGCCTTTTCTATTGATGCCCCCAGGGTCTGGAATGCTATTGCCAATAAACTGAAACTTGAATCACTACCTATGATATCTTCACTCAAAACTGCTCTAGAGGAGATGTACACCCCTAGCTGCCACTGCTATTTAGTGGCCTAAAATAAAATGTTTCGCTCCGGACTTGCATCCCACAGCGTTGGTGTACGGTGCTTTTTCTGCAATGTTTTGCCGTCTTTTCTTGGATTTTCTGTTTGCAAATAGTCACATAGTCACTTTAAGATGTTTTCTTGTTCATGTTTTTTTGTTTGTTGTGGTTGCACCCGATTCAAGAGCCGAATGGCTCACAGGGCTATACCTAATAAATGAACTTGAACTTGATGTTATTATTAATATCTATTTTTCTTCTTCATTTTCAGATGACATTGAAAACATGGACAGGAAATTGACCAGAGACGAACGAGTTTGATTGTCATTCGTATGCAAAAAAGGCAGCTGTGATTGCTCATTCGTACATCGTGCATCAATGTAAACAGAAGTCAGTTTTAACATTTGTTAAAACAAACAACATAATGCTTTGTTACATGTTAAAATAAAATGATGACACGATGTGGCATGACTTTTGGGCTACCCTCTATAGGTGACGTTGTGAAGGGCCAATTGTGATGTGTTTTGCAGAAAGGCCATTGCCTGAAACGTCACTTTTTTATATCTAACCACACATTATATATTTATTACACATTATTATCATAATCAGAATAGATATTTAGACTGGAGGAATCCGATGAGTTATAAAGCTCTTTCGTATAGGTGTCCAGTTGGGGCAGGTAAGAATGTTACAACAACGAACAATATCAACACATGATAGGAGTGCAAAATACAGGTTGGCCCAAAAGTTTCATTCATCGTGCCACTGAAATTGCAACGTTTTAAGCATTTAGTCTAAAAGTTAACATTTTTTTTGTTATTATTATTAATACCATGACAAAACAATCCTCTGTGATTTGTTTAAATAAATCAATAAGATCTGTGTGTCCTAACTTGTGGGTCACCCTCTATCGGCGACGGTATGAAAGGGCAAACAACTGTGATGTGCTCTGCAGACGGAACATTGCCTGAAACGTCACCTATCATTATCCAATACCCACCCCAGTGTACTCCCAGCGTTGTGGTTGGTTTAGCGGCCCCGCCGCCGCCTGCGCGGCTCCCGTCAGCTCCGGCACGGCGACCCGCGCCGTGCCTCGGGCTTCATCCGGGGAGGGGGTCCCGGGCACAGCCCCGCGGGATCCCTCGCGGGGGTCGCCATCTGCAAGAAGGAGAAGAAGCACAGCGATCACATTTCGTACTTCTGGGTCTACATTTCCGATTATAGATAAAACATGGCCCCAGCCAGCACCCGTGGTGCCACCATTAACCAGAAAGATTTTGCTCCACATTGAAGTATGAAGCTCAAATTCGAGAATAATGTGATGTGCCTGTCACGTTGTCTGATAGGTGTTTAAGCTCCCCGTGTTACTCATGATGGGCAACAGCAGTGGCTCCAAAGTGGCCCTTCTGTTGGTGGCTGCCACCCTAACGAGAAGTCACGAGGTCGCGCGGTCGCACGCTCACCTTGGGGTGCAGGCAGCACAGACACGCTGATGTTATCGCGTGCTGTAGCTGGCACCAGGGAGGGTTCAGGCCAGCCATGGCGAAGGCAGCTGGGTTGCGTGTTGAGCCACTCGTCGGCCGCCACCAGCACCTCGTTGGACGAGGTGGGGGCCAAGACCGTGAGGTCGTTACCGGACGAGGTGTCCTCTGCTCCAGCTGCCACAGTCGTGGTTGGGCCCTGCCACAGCAACGCAGTCAACACATCCACAATTAATCCTCCCATCCGGACTGGCATCCCAACACACGTGAGACTGAATTATCTTCAAAATGAATCAAATTAAGTCCATGAACCGATAAGTGATCTGCATTAAATGTCTCTGAAATATATATAGACGATTGATTTTTAGAGGAACCCCAAACTGACAAAATATTCAAAGAAGTTGCCATTGACTAAAGACGAACGAGTTCAGTTCGTTGTTATGCATGCAAAAAAGGTAGCTGTAATTTAAAAAAGGTGCTAAATGCATTTCAAAATGGTAATGGATATCAGTTTTAACATTTGTTAAAAATAAACTCAATGACCCTTTGTGATTTGTTAAGATAAATACAATAACTTTGCGTGTCCTGACTTTGGGCCACCCTCTACAGGCCACGTTATGAAAGGGACAACAACTATGAATGTGCTCTGCAGAAGGGCAATTGCCTGAAACGTCGCCTATCATTATTTTGTAAGGACCCCCCCCCCCCGTGCACTCCCAGCGTTGTGATTGGCTGAGTGGCGCCAGCGGGCCCCGCCCCGCCCGCCACCCGGGGCCCCGCCCCCCCACCTGAGGCTCCGCCCCCAGACGCGGCCCCGCCGCCGCCTGCGCGGCTCCCGTCAGCTCCGGCACGGCGACCCGCGCCGCGCCTCGGGCTTCATCCGGGGAGGGGGTCCCGGGCACAGCCCCGCGGGATCCCTCGCGGGGGTCGCCAACTGCAAGAAGAAGCAGAAGCACAGCGATCACATGTTACACTGCGGACAAGCACACGGCTCTACATTTCCCACTGGAGACAGACATGGGCCTGTCGATCGCTTCTGAAGAACTAAATAGCTCAGTGGGCTTCACCTGGTTTAATACAAAAAGAGTGGAGCTCATTTCGTTTTCGGGATTAACTTACTTTTCTCATACTTTTCACTTGTTGTTATTGGTGTAATTTCTTGAAATCGTTTAAAAGAGCTTTATATCTCATCGGAATAATCCACGATTAATAAAGTTCATGATTTTGAATTGGTGAGTGACGGTTGGTAACTTACGGGTGGTCCATTGCCCCCCCCCCCCCCGTGTGACGGTTGGTCACTCACGGGGTCCTTTGCCCCCCCCCCTCGTGAGTGACGGTTGGTCACTCACGGGTCCTTTGCCCCCCCCCCCCCCCCCCCCCGTGAGTGACGGTTGGTCACTCACGGGGGTCCTTTGCCCCCCCCCCCATTGCCCCCCCCCCCCCCCGTGTGACGGTTGGTCACTCACGGGGGTCCTTTGCCCCCCCCCCCCATTGCCCCTTCCCCGTGAGTGACGGTTGTCAACGCGACCGCTTCACCCCGACACGAATCACGGCCTACAACGACCACTTGGCCCAACCCCAAACCCCACACGCAGAGCGATCTTTACAAGTTGCTGCTGGTTGCTGGCCGCTCGGCGTTTCGAGCCTTTCGAGTGACTATTTATCGCGAGATTGGTTATTTAAAGGGACCAACACGCAATTAAACCATACGGGTGGTGCTGCTGCTGCTGCTGCGTGGGCAGTGGTGAACAGGTTGCACCAGAACACAACCACTCAGCACGATCCGTGTCGATAGCGACACTGCGGCCTCCACAGGTGCAGGCGCACGTGGGTCATGGCCCCACTTCAACAGCGCCATCTATTGTGTCTGTTTCCCTTCGCAGCAGTGCTGTTGACGTGCTGTCGATTTATTTTCACGTCGTCTTCTGACCAAATATGGACGAATAAATACTTTAACGATCGTTTTACCTCATCTATATACAAAAACGGTACATTATTGAATGTGTCTGTTCTAAATGTTTAACATACTTCCCAACATGTAACAAACTTGATATTTGGCATGTGGCTAACTTCCAGACAGTACGCAATGGAAAAATATAAAAATAGACTTTTGGTATTTAGGGGGGGGGGGGGGGCACAAAAATGAAACATTTTGCATGGCCAAGGCGCGGTGACGTCACGCAGTATTCCTAGTGACGTCACGCAGTGTGCATACTGACGTCACGCACCCCCCCCCCACCCTCCGCGTATTAATCCAAGACAATAATCCAAGTCCCGGGCGAAGCCGGGTAGTAAAGCTAGTACAATATTAATTCTAGATCTAGTACAATATAATTAAAATCACGTAGGTATATATTTTTATGAATTAAATCACGACGTTTCGGGCGCAACACAAGTGTCCGTCATCAGGTGGGACAACCACAGCAAGAAACAATTGCTGAAGTCCGTGACTTTACCGAAAGAACCAAAGAGTATGGATCCCTGCAGTCACGAAAACTTCAAATCTAGAATATAATTAAGCATTCAGCTTATTCTACTGTGTTGCCTGTTTCGTGTGTGTTGTGCGTGTGTGCGTGTGGAGGGGAGAAATTGACATTTTTGGGGTAAAAATGTTGATAATTTCCCTTTAAAAGTCCGACGCTCACCTTGGGGAAGCTCTCGTGGCATAATCGGTCGATGGGATTCTCAGGTTGTTGAAAGTGTCGCCGCTGTTCACGTTCAAGAGAGCAGGGACGACGCAGAATCACACAAACACGTCTGGTCTTCTCGCCGTGCTGGAGTTCTGTGACCGTCACGGGCCTCACGTGACCGTCGTGTCCCTTGGCAACGACCGCGATCATCAACATGGCGACATTCAAACTCGGCACGTGGTCCCTCGTCATCGTTACAACGTTGGAGACGCGAGAGGCACGTGGGGGGCACGGGGAGGGGCTCGTGGGGGGCACGGGGAGGGGCTCGTGGGGGGCACGAGGGGGGGGGGGCTCGTGCCATCTCCCCCCCCCCGTGAGTGACCAACCGTCACCCCGTGAGTGACGCTGGTCAACGCGACCGCTGCTGGGTGGGCAGAGGCGGCCGGGGGCGGGAGGGAGAAGTGAATACACGTGGCCCCATCGTCTTGACTGTCAGCGAGTTCCTCTGATTATTACTCTTATTACTATTATCACCGTGGTCAATAGTAGCTCTGTATCCTATAATGCTGCTCTCTGTTGTGTGTAACGTGCAAGGTTTGCAGAAGTGTGTAACTCTGTGCAGTGTGCTCAAATGTGCATTCACGTGTTCATTGGAGAAACTTCGCCCCTTGTTAATGCGTCAGTGTTTATGTCTCCTAGAAGTGATATATTGGATGTCATAGACGGTCTCTTTCATTTTAAACCAATGTTTACTTCAACGGCTTCAATATAATTTAATTATCATCATGATGATGATTAAAATATAAAAGTCTTCATACCCTTTCCGACAATAACACAGGAGGTGTTACGAAGCGCAAACACCAAATAGACACCCCGACTGCAGGGCATCGAGTCTGCATTGACCACACGTCGCGCTTGTGGTCAAGCATCCAAAGCGACGTGCTCTGATGATGCACGCCTTGTCCCTGACACGACAATGGCCTCCAGCAGAGACGTCCTCCTACATGTCCCTTGACCCACCCACCAGTTGTCAGGACAGAGAACAACGACACGAGGAGGCGAACGGCAGCACAGAGGCGATGCAAACACCAATCCGTGAATGTGCGGCTAATGCAGACTCGACGCCTTGCAATCGGTGAGTCCATTTGGTGTTTGGGTGTCTTGACACCTCCTGCGTTATTTCCGGAAAGGGTAAAACGCCTCTCTTCTGCCGACATCGCCATGTCGATACCGGCAACACAACTGGTCCCGTGGATGTGTATCTCGTGATGTATATAGTGTATGCGGAGAGACAGATATGAAAGAGACTACGCCACTTGATCTGTTTCTATTCGATAAGCTCCTACCACTGTAAGGCAGGCGAGGCGTTCACTTGTGTGGGGTGCCACGGTGGCGAGGAGATGTTAACTTCCTCGCCTGGTATACAGGAGGGCGTGCGTTCGGTTCCGATTCTGACGCCTGCTGTTGTTTATTTGGAGTTTGCGGTGTCTCTCTCCCCGTGGTCGCGTGGATTTGTCTCCAGGTCCTCCGCGTTTTCCCTCCACATTTAACAAACACGCGTCTCTTTATTTGCGTCTGCCATAAATGTCTCCGTGATAAGCCACTTCGTTGAGCTCTCACTTGTGACAGCCAGGCCGCTGCTGAAAAAAGAAACTCTACATAGCTAGTGGGGCCTTACCTGGTAATTTTAAATATAAATACTTTGCTTTAGTTTATAATCCCAACCAGCACTGCTTCGCATTGAGCTGCATGCGACTGCACTGGCAGTGGTCTGTCTACAGACACAGGACTCACGAGGTGGCCTTGCAGTCACGTCAGCTCATTTTCCCTCGAGCAAGATACGACGGTGGTTGACTGTACGGTCCACAGCTTGAGTCGCACTGTGGCTGCTCTTTAATGTACCTCTCTCTCTGCGAGTCTCTTATGGGTCTCTACGAGTCTCCATGTAGCACAACGTGTGTGTGGGTTTGCTCTACGGTCCACAGCTTGAGTTGCATGACCACAGTCGCACTCCTGCTGCTGCGTGTTGCGTCTCGTCTCTAATGTTCCATTCGTTAAAACGTGCGCATCGTTCCGTTGATGTTCTGGTGCGGTTCCTGGTGACAGCGGTGTATTTGCAGAGGATTGTCCATGCCAGGAGGTGTGCGGTGGTTGATGCTTGGGTCTCGAACGCGGCGTTCATTCCGGACGTCCACGCTGTTCCACCGTTCGCCGGCGATCTTCCAGATCTGTGCGAGAGCCACAGCCCCGATCGATCAGAGGTTCATCCACGTACTCGATAGCAGCGATTTCTCAACCCCTTTCATTGCAACGGGAGACTTTCGAGCTCGCTCGATCTTCACGGCGCACCGAACCAAAGAGTCGGTCCTGCTAATTAGCACAACTTTGTGGCGGCACACCGCTCGAGATGCCACGAGGAGGTTGGGGCAGCTCAGAGGTCCTAGCGCCGAGCCGGCGCCACTGACACCGTGGGTTGGAGTGAGGGCTGCAGCCACTGCCTGTGATTGAACCGGGTTCTCGAGTTTAACGAGTGGATGGCTTTGGCCCAGCTAACAATGACTGAACCCATCAAATGTGTATACATATTAGAATCAGGATTTACACCTCATTCGGATAAATTCCACCGAAACATGCAATAAACGCCAATGTCAAAGCGGTGCGTTTAAAGGGAGGGAATGGGAGAGGAGGCCATGGGGGTGACGAGGGCCCGTCAGCAGCATAGAGCTGTGGATGAAGAGGAGAGAGTTGTGTGTGAAGGAGGGAGCTGTGTGTGACGGTGAAGGTGGAAACAATTGACTGGAACCCTTCCCTGTCTCCGCATGTTGGCGAGGGTAGCGTTGGCTACACCATGCAGAACTCTCCGATGTTGCCCCCTGTAATGGGGGATTAGCCGTGAACATTCGTGTGTCCCCCTCTTGAAAGCCTTTTTGGGAACGTGT